CGCCACCGTCTTTGATGGCTTCCTGTGGGCATGGGGCTCGTGCTGTGTGCAGGGCGTGCTGACGGCCTCCTCTCTCTCTCTAGCTGCTCAAGACTCTCTTTGGGACAAACCTGGCCTCCCAGTTTGATGGCTTGTCGTCCAACCCCAGCAAGTGCCAGGGCCGAGCCCAGCGCCTCGGCTCGTCCAGCCTGAGGCCCGGCCTGTACCACTACTGCTTCATGGCTCCCTACACCCACTTCACCCAGGCCCTGGCGGACGCCAGCCTGCGCAACATGGTGCAGGCCGAGCCGGACCACGACGCCTCCGGGTAACCCTGCCGCGGCACTCGGGGCAGGAACGGCCGTGGGGGAAACAGAGGGAGCAAGCAGGGACTGATCTGTGAGAAACAGAGAGAGGAGCCAGCATCCCCGAGGGGCCCGCTCCGTGCAGGGACCTCTGGGAAACGTGCTGCCACGGAGGCGCTGCAGGCCCGGCCCAGCCCGCCTGCCTCAGAGCGCGGGCCAGGGAGGGGCCAGTGGCTGGGCCAGAGGATGCGGCGGGCGGCGCCAACGTCACGGCCGAATCATGGCGAGCCCGTCCTCGTGGGAAGGCCGTGGTGTTTCCCGGTGCGCCCCGCACTCCCTACGTGAGGGCCGTGTGTCGTGCCACTCTTGGGGTCACTTCAGGTGAAGGGGCACCTCGCACGGGCCCAGGGCGGTGCGCAGAGGTGTGTGGGTGGGGAGCCCTGGTGGCCTCTGTGCTTCGTGACTGTGCTGATGTCTTCACCGACACTGATGGCTGTGGTTTTGCGGCCTGCAGCACAGTAGTTAGCTGTCTCTGGAACGACCCAGTCCTGAGCCGGCGTTTGAGTTGCGTGCGCAGGAGCAGGAGAGCACGTTCCCCTATCGTGTCAGAGCACTAGAGTCAGGGCCGAGGGCCGTGCCGTGGTGTGGCCGGCCTCACGTCGGGACGCGCTTGCTGTATGTCCGCGTCTCGGACAGGCTCTGCGAACGCTTTGATAACACGGTGTAAATAACAAGCAAGTGTGTGCGGGGTGTCCCGGTCCTCTCAGCTGTTTCTCACAAAGAGAAGCGTGTAATTGATGTGTTTCAACAAAATTTTTTCCAAGAAAACCAAGTGCTGTCTCCCGACTCCCTTTCCATGGCCGTCACCGTCCTGCCCGCCGCCGGGCCGGGACTCACAGCAGCCTGGCTGTCCTCACTGAAGGAGGAGCCGACGCGGGCGCGCTGAGTCCCGGCCGAGCAGTGAAGGGCGGTCTCCATCGGCAGGTGGTTCGACGTGCTGCAGAAGGTGTCCACCCAGCTGAAGACAAACCTCTCGAGCATCACAAAGACGCGTGCAGACAAGGTACGCGGGGCCACCGGAGAGCGCGTGGGAGAGCGGCCGGGCGCCGTGCGGCCTGGGCCTGGCAGCGGAGGCGCGCTCATGGCGCCCTCTGCCTCATCCTAGAACGCCATTCACAGTCACATCCGGCTGTTCGAGCCTCTGGTCATAAAGGCGCTGAAGCAGTACACGACCACCACGTCCGTGCAGCTGCAGAGGCAGGTCCTGGACTTGCTGGCACAGCTGGTCCAGCTGCGGGTCAACTACTGTCTCCTGGACTCAGACCAGGTGAGTCACTGGGCCTTTCGTCTCCGCACCTGTTCGCGACTTGGTGAGAGTGGCCGCAGGGAGACGCCACCGCCACCTACGGCAAGGAAGGCGCTGTTCCTCCCGCCAGTCTCTGCGTCTCACCAGGACTGGCCGCCGGGCCTGGCGCGCATTGGGGGTCTCCCCGTCTGCTCTGGGCTGTTGGGGTCACCCTGGACCCTCGTCACATTGGCCAGAGGCTCTCCCATAGCCTGTGCAAGGTGGCATGACACGCTGCTTTCTCCTCCCGAAGCCGCCTCTGGCACGTGAACGCTGGGGGCCACCTGAGCATGGACAGGCCTGCTTCTCGGCAGGCGCGCTGAGCCCATCGGCAGCCGGCGCTTCCTGCCTCGGCCCGTACAGCTCTGTCCCGCCACCGGACTTGGTAGCGTTGGGGCTTGGCCACGAGCAACCCCTCATGTTGGTTCCCTGGCTCTCGCCACTCGGTGCCCTGGCTCCGCAGTTCTCAGGGCCACGCAGGCTTCCTGAACGATGGGAAGCGAGCCGCAGACCACTGAGCTCCATTCCAATTTACTGAGCGCCGGCTGTGTGCGGGGGGTCACAGGGCCGGCGGGGAGAACGCAGCGGGCGAGGCAGTCCGTGTTCAGGTTGGGTGAGCAGGTGGTGCTTGGAATGGAGTGGGACCACTGTTGGCTCTCACGCGGGCCTGACGCACTGCGTCTGCTCCTGGGCCATCCTGCACCACCCAGCGCCCCGCGTGGGGCTCCTCGAGCTGGACAAGGAGGCCCTGGTGTGGCGGTACTGCCCGGTGTCCCCCGAGTTCATTATTTGTTCTCCAGAGGTCTCCTCCGTGCTCAGGAAATGTTTACAGGGGCCCTGGAAGGGCCCGAAGCTTTAGTCTGACGCAGTAAATACGTTTGAGTTCTTGTCAATGACAGATTTACACAGATAGTGGGGAGCGAGGGAGCCTGGGGCGCGTTCTCGTTCTCGTTGTTGAAGTGACGCTTCTCTCCTGCTGCAGGTGTTCATCGGGTTCGTGCTGAAGCAGTTCGAGTACATTGAAGTGGGCCAGTTCAGGTAACGGAGTTTTCTGCTTTTACACTCTTGTTCTTGTTACGTAAGTGCATGTAGTTTTAGATTATTAACATGAACATACTTTAAAGGACTGCTAGGCATTTAAAAAAATGTTTTTATTGATCTTTTTTTAGGGAGAGGGGGAGAGAGAGAAACATCAATGATGAGAGAGAATCACAAATCAGCTGCTTCCTGCACTCCCCACTCTGGGGATCAAGCCCGCAACCAGGCCTGTGCCCTGACCAGGAATTGAACCCAAGACTCTTCGGTCATGGGGCAATGCTCAACCAATTGAGCCACAGCAGTCAGGGTGGATGGTTAGGCATTTTTGCTGGGTATTTTTTAATGGAAATCTGACTAATTTGCTATGCATTTTTGTTTCTCTTAAAAATTAATGAGGCCAGGCCGGTGTGGCTCAGTGGTTGAGCGTCGACCTATGGGCCAGGAGGTCACAGTTCGATTCCCGGTCAGGGTACATGCCCAGGTTGTGGGCTCGATCCCCAGTCAGGGGCGTGTAGGCGGCAGCCGATCAGTGATTCTCTCTCATCATTGATGTTTCTATCTCTCCCTCTCCCTTCCTCTCTGAAATTGGTGGAAATATATAAAAAATAAATAAAATTAATGGGTATCTGAAGACTAGCTTAGAAGCTGTTCTGCATCTGTTAATCACAGATGCTGTCAGGTTTCACAGCATCTAATTATGATACTCAGTTGCTAAATGAAATCTGATCTGTTGAACACTAGCTCTTAACCTTAAAGAGCGTTTAGATGTGGTTGGCTTTAGCAGAGGCAGTTACCATGCGCTTATGTCAGCTACAGCTTTGCTTGCTACACAGGAAGGGTTAATGCTTCCCTGTGCAGGTGTGGGAGTATAATTATTGAAAATTAAAATTCTTTCTCTTTTAATCCTCACCTGAGGATATGTTTTTATTGATTTAAGAGAGAGAGACATTGATCGGTTGCTTCCTGTACGTACCACAATGGGGGATCCAACCCACAGCCTGGGTATGTGCCCTGATGGGACTTGAACCCACCACCTTTTGGTGCACGGGATGATGCTGCAGCCAGCGAGCCACCCGCCAGGGCTCCCACTCGCTAGCTTCTGCACTGCTTAATGAGTAGCTGGGGATCTTTGCCGAGGACAGCGTCCTGAGAGGCCCGGGGGCTAGAGACCCCGCTCTCCTCCGAGCCATGTGACGCCTGAGTGTGAGTGGGTTCCTTTTCCTGCTTGGGGCAGTTTCTTGGACTGAAGAGTGAGGAGCTGAGGGACCCGAGGAGCCAGCTCTGCTGGGCGCCCAGGGCTGCCGGTGCTCTCTGCTCAGCCTTGCCGGCCGCGGGCTCTGCACAGACGGGAAGGCGCCGTGAGCGATGGACGGAAGGAGCCCGCTGGGGCTGCCTCTCGGGCGAGCTCTCGCTTCCCGTGGAGGGTTTCGTATTGCTTCATTGATCGTGTATCTCAGTTTTAAGGGAGTGTCTACGTGGATGTTTTTGTTTCTAGGGACTCAGAGGCAATCATTCCAAACATCTTTTTCTTCCTGGTCCTTCTGTCTTACGAGCGCTATCATTCAAAGCAGATCATTGGGATTCCTAAGATCATTCAGCTCTGCGACGGCATCATGGCGAGCGGGAGGAAGGCCGTGACCCACGGTAACAGGACAGCCCTTCGCTGCGGTTCCCTCCTCCTGGCTGCTCCGCAGGCTGGTCCTTGAGCCCAGCCCCCGTGTCCGCACTGCTCTGCTGTGTGGCCCCCGTGTGTGTGTGCATGGGTGCATGTGCACTCGTGTGTTCACACGTGTGTGCTTGTGCACGTGGAGGGGGCACACTCTTTACTCGGAGGAGTTAGAACCTACTTAAGTAAAAATAGAGAAGCAGTAAAACGCTGTGCGGTACAGATAGGGCCTGACGTAAACACGTGTCCTTCGTGCACACGGACAGTCCCGCTGCCGTAGGACCTTGCTGTGCTCCCTGCTGTGGCAGGAGGCATGGGCTTTCCAGACGTGCCGTCCCCGGCTTCTCAGCAGAGCTTCTGTCCCCCAGCCATCCCGGCTCTGCAGCCCATCGTCCACGACCTCTTCGTTTTAAGAGGGACCAATAAAGCTGACGCAGGGAAGGAGCTGGAAACCCAGAAGGAGGTGGTGGTGTCGATGCTCCTGAGACTCATCCAGTACCATCAGGTGAGGGCCCGTGGCCGTCACGTCCTGCGTCGTCCCCGCAGGGGCCGCGGGCCACCGTCTGGTAGAGTGGGTGTGGCTCTGGGCCGGCTGGGGCCCGGCTGGGTGCCCCGGGGGTCTGGGGGGCTGTCTGCAGCAGCCCCGCCCCGTGGGGAGGACCAGAGCACCGAGGGGCCGCGCGGAGCTCGCTCTCTCAGTGGTTCTGGTTCTGTTATCCTTAAAGTTGAGCGAGAACCTCAGGTAGTTGGAGGCAGTGTAAGTGCAGAGTCTGGCTTTCTTAGTGACTCCTCTCTCGCAGCGTGTCCAGCAGCCTGGCCCTTGCTCACTTTGTCCTTCCTTCCAGCTATTTGAATTCAAACCTGTCAAGTCAGGAGCTTTTCTCAGGAGCACTGTCTCTGCTTCCTCGCTGTGGTCAGTCTCGGTCAGACTTAATTAAATGCGTGGTGTTTAGTTAAGTCCCAGAACCACCATAATAGGCACACCTGCTCTGGAGGTGTGAGCCCCCCGCTCTCGGCCAGCACGCTGGGCTGGTGGGCGGCCTGGGACCGGCTGCCCCGTTCTCGGACTGGTTTGTGGGTGAACAGAGGGGCCGCTGGCCTTGGGCAGGGGGGTTGCTGCAGGTGTTCTCGTGCAGTAAGGGTACAGCCACCGGCCTTAAAGGGAGAGGCAGGTGGGACGGGGTGGTCAGGGCTTTGTGCGGGGTGGGCTTACATGGGTGCCTCTTTTTTTTTTAAATAGATTTTACTGATTTTTACAGAGAGGAAGGGAGAGGGATAGAGAGAGAGAAACATCGATCAGCTGCCTCCTGCACACCCCCTACTGGGGATGTGCCCGCAACCAAGGTGCATGCCCTTGACCAGAATCGAACCTGGGATCCTTTAGTTCGAAGGCCGACGCTCTATCCACTGAGCCAAACTGGCTAGGGCAGGCCTCTCTTTTCTAGCAGTTGCATTTAGAGACCCGATGGGCACCCTTCTCAATCTGCTCCGTTCTCATTCTCTGTAAACAGGCAGGGAAAGGTTTCTAGCTTCGCAGGCCCTGTGGCAATTGTTGTGTCTGCTGTTCTGGGCAGGAGCCGCCATCAACACGCTCACCAGGGCCAGGCCCGGAGCTGCCTCTGCGCAGACATGGCCGCTGGCCCTCTGCTCAGGCACAGCCACCGCTGAGAGGCGGTGCCCCGGTGGGAGATGCCTGGGCCCCTGAGGGCGTGAGGCCTGCAGGGTGCTCGGTCGGGCTGTGTTGGGGTTTGCCAGAGGTGGGTGTAAGTGTCGTGTCTGTTTGTGCCGTCTCTTTGGTTATGAAGTCTCGTAGCTTCACAGGAATAATGAGGGCGAGGCGGGCGGGCCCTGGAGGAGCTGCTCCTGGCCCCGTGTCCCAGGGGCAGTTCTTGGCTCATCAGGCCGTCGCTGGGCTCAGGTGGCTTGGCCCTGCTGTCCCCCCGCTGAGCGGGATGGGATGGCGAGTGGGGAGGAGTGACAGCCCGCCCGCCGCCCGCAGGTGCTGGAGATGCTGATCCTGGTCCTGCAGCAGTGCCACAAGGAGAGCGAGGACCGGTGGAAGCGGCTGTCGCGGCAGGTGGCTGACATCCTCCTCCCGATGCTCGCCAAGCAGCAGGTGGGCCGCGCTGGGGGAGGGGGGCGCCGCGCTGGGGGCCGCGCAGGGGGGCCGGCCTCCTTCACGCACGTCCATCTGCCACAGCAGTGTCTGCACGGGTCCCGGGACAGGGGAGCTTCCGTTCCTCTCAGTGAGCTGTTCCCGCTCTTGTCCCTGCTGTACAGTGTGGGACCCAGGGCCCAGGGATGTCGTGTCCCCATTAATCCCTAGAGTGGCCGACATCTTTCTCCTTTTCACTGATGAGGACGTGGGGAAGGGACAGCCAGTGTGGGAAGAAGGGGGAGCAGCCCTGGCTGCTGAGGGGCCAGTCCATGAGCCCCAGGGGCTCAGGCTGCGCTTGGCAGACCAGGAGGAGGTGGAGCCCCTCTGTGTGGGGGGGTTACCCTAAGAAGGGGTACACGTGGGCGGCGGCCCCAGGAGGAGAGGGGTGGGTGCGGAAGGCTGGCCTGCGTGTGCACCGAAGGCAGGAACAGGGTATTGGAGATGCTGGACCCCAGAAATTGCCACTCTAGTGCCCCGAGCAGGCGGCATCGTGCCAGTGGAGGCGGCGGGAGCTCGAGGTCTCGTCCCCTTGCGGGTGAGGTGGCTCAGTGCATACGCTGTCAGCCCTGCACCTGGAAAGGCACCTCTTCCCAGAGAAGTCGTTGGCTGTATAGACGTGGGTCATAGCGACAGGGACTGGCCGCAGTCCGTGCCGGCTGCACCTGAATGCTTTGCATCCACTGAAAACACTAGACTTGAACCCTCTTGCTTTGGGAGTTCGCCGTTGTGTTTTAAGGGGAAAAGCAGGGTATTTATATGATTTACCAGAACAAGTTACTGAACAGCCTCTCTCCGAGGAGCAGTGGAGAAAGCTGAGGACGAGGCGTCTGTGCGGCCATGTGCTGACATTCGTTCCTGATGGGCGCCGTGGGGATGGGGCGCGGGGGAAGCAAAGGAAAACGAGGAGGAGGCGTGTGTGTTGGTCCCACGTAGGAAAACTGTGTCCAGGTGCACGGGGGCGATGATGATGGTGTTGGGGTGCAGTTCCACCTGGTTTTTGTTCTTTTACGTGTTTGAATCTTTTAAAGAAAACGTATATTGTGTGAATAATAGAACTCCGCAGGGAAAGATTTGCGTTGTGGGAAAACGCAGCGGAGCCGTGGCGTTGGGAAGCGCGTTTGCTGGGTGGGCTGTGAGCGTTGGAGCTCCTTCTGTGCCGGTCATGACTCGGGTGGGCGGGTTGTCGGGCGGGGACCGCCCTGAGTGTCAGTGTCCGCCTTTGGTTGTGTGATTGCCACAGATGCACATCGATTCTCACGAAGCCCTCGGCGTGTTAAACACGTTGTTTGAGATCCTGGCCCCGTCCTCCCTGCGGCCCGTGGACATGCTTTTGCGGAGCATGTTCGTCACCCCAGACACCATGGTGAGTGCCTGCCTTCCGGCGCCTCAGGTGCGGTGGTCACTGGGCCGCGCTGGGCTGGGTGGCCTGGGCCTGGCATTGGACACTGTTCCCTGCGGCGGAGCGCAGCCTTCAGAACCCGCGGTGCAGGGGAGTGTGGGTGCTTTTCGGTCATCAGATCGGCCGTCAGGACAGCATGGTTCTCTGTCCTTCCCCAGGCGTCGGTGAGCACTGTCCAGCTCTGGGTCTCGGGGATCCTGGCCATTTTGAGGGTCCTCATCTCCCAGTCCACCGAAGACATCGTCCTCTCCCGCATCCAGGAGCTGGCCTTCTCCCCGCACCTGCTCTCCTGTCCCGTCATCGACAGGCTAAGGGACGGGGACAGGGACTCAGCACCCAATGGACACAGCGGGGGCAGACAGGTGAAGACTTTGCCGGAAGAGACGTTCTCTAGGTAGGCTGCGTACGACCCTTCCAGTCCCTCTCCCTCCGGAGTCACGTGCTGTTTGGCGATCAGAAAGTCGGGACTGGCCCTCGTCTTCCTCAGCTGCCCTGCCGGTGGCCTCGGTTCATGCCTCTCTCCTGGTCAGCGTCTCCTTGCCAGGCGACACCGCGGGGCTCACTGCCGCAGTGGGGAGGCGGCCGCCCTGGGTGCAGGGATCCGGGCGGCGCTGCTGCTGAAGCTCAGAGTCCAGGAGGAGCCACTGGGAGTGGGTCTCACTCTCCTCCCCACCAGGTGCTGGCCCTCCGAACACCGCCCCAGCCGGCGGCCGCCCCTGCGGGGTCCGGGGTACAGAGGGGTCAGATCGCATCAGAGGCTCCGGGGGCAGCGGGCTCGCCTCAGGCACTGCGCACGCTGTGCTGGATGGGGTGTGCCCGCTGTGACCCCACTGAGGCAGAGCGGCTTGGAGGACGTGCCATGGGTGCGATTCTGCCGTGCACCTTCCAGCTGGGGCCCCCATGACATGTCCTTAGCCGCCTCCGTGGCCATCGGTGGGTGCGGGTGTGTGGAGAGGGTCACGTTGAGCAGGCGGCGGAGATGGATGAGTTACGATCCGGTGCCGTGTTGTCAGCCTCCTCACAGCCCAGTGCCACGCTGTCCTCCTGGCAGTCCGCTGAGGGTGGCACGGCCGCTGCCAGCTCCCAGGGAGGAGGGAGATGTGCATAGAGGCAGGGACTCCACCCCAGGGTGGGCTTACACATTCCATCGCTTCCCTCACACTTGCTCTGTAGACTGTCTCCTGTGTGTGGGTTTACACACACGTACAGGAGCCGCCGGGCTCCGTCACGTCCCTCAGTCACGTCCCCCCTCCCTTCTCCGCAGGTTTCTCCTACAGCTGGTGGGCATCCTCTTGGAGGACATTGTCACGAAGCAGCTCAGAGTGGACATGAGCGAGCAGCAGCACACTTTCTACTGCCAGGAGCTGGGCACGCTCCTCATGTGTCTGATCCACATCTTCAAGTCTGGTGGGTGCCTCCCCCTGCCCCCGCCTGCGAGAGTGTGTCCCCTCCCGACCACACCTGGCACAGGCCGTGCTGCCCGCCCCCGCCTGCGAGAGTGTGTCCCGTCCCACCACACGGGGCGCAGGCCCACGGGGGAAGCCAGGTCGGCCGAGAGAGGCATGCTGAGCTGTCTGTCCAAGGGAGGCTAGAATGACATCACTCCGGGGATGGCTCCAGGCACGAGGAGGGTGCTGTGGGGAAACTGGTGGGCTGAGCCCCACAGGGTCTGCCCCTAAGGGTGTGGCCGCCCAGCCCAGCGTCCTGGTGGCCCTGGAGCCCAGCCGGCCCTCAGCCCTCAGCAGCCTGCGGAGTGCCGAGCCAGGGTGGAGCACCATCCACCCTCTCTGCCGCCGTCTGTGGCCCAGTGGCCTCTGTAGTTGCCGCCCCTCGGTTCTCAGCAGGAGCCGTTTGGTTGGCAGGAGTGGGTGCAGGGCCTCCTGCCCTTTGCTGTCTGCAGGGAAGAGCCGTGCACAATCGTTGACATAAAATCTGGCTCCGAAGTGCTGGGCCTCGATGAGGAGCAAAGGGTTTCCCTTAATCTGTGTGGCTTTGGGTTTGCTTCTAGGAATGTTCCGGAGAATCACAGCAGCCGCCTCCAGGCTCTTCACGGCCGACGGCGCGGACGGCAGCTTCTACGGCCTGGAGAGCTTGAACGCGCAGGTGCGCTCCATGGTCCCCACACACCCGGCCCTCGTGCTGCTCTGGTGCCAGATCCTGCTGCTCGTCAGCCACACGGACTACGGCTGGTGGGCCGAGGTGCAGCAGACCCCCAGGTACGCCTGCCCGCCCGCCGCCCCCCTGCCGCGGAGCCGCTGGGGCTGGGGCTTGGCCGGTTGCCACGGGCTTTGTGAGGGTTCTGCGTGCGTCCATCTTTCTGTCGGACACCATTGTAGAGAAACATGTGGTCTGACCCAGGCACTCGGAGCCCGGAGCCCGCGCCGCTGCAGGGGGATGTGTCCGTCCTGCGGGCCATTCCTGCCGCCCGCCTCCCCTGCTAGGTTCTCCGCAAATTGGCTCCAGAGCAGGCATGTGGCAGCGGCCTGCCTCACAGTCAGAGGGGCTCTGCTGCTGCTTCGGCACTGAAGTCATTGCGTAGGGACATTTCAGGACGGTCTGGAAGTGCCTGTAGTTCACTCTGTAAGAAGACTTGCTCAGCACCTGGTCGTGGGTGGCCCTGTTTCACAGGGACGTTCCGGGGTAAGCCTCAATTTCTAGGCGCTCCCTCACTCAGACATTTGATGTGTGCTCACGCGGAGACAAAAGCTTTGGACCCCTCCTCCCCCGCCCCCCCGCGGAGTCCTCGGGGCAGTGTTTCTGGAAGGCTGTGGCCCACAGCGGGGAGCACACGCAGTAGGAGTCTGCGGGCGGCTCTGTGCTCGGTGGGAGACGAGCCGTGTGCATCACAGGGCCCACTTGGCCACATGAGCGGGCGTTGAACATCGCTCTGTGCTCCGTGGACACGCAAAGGAGTGGGGGCAGCTCTGCGACCCTGCGGTCATGCGCATTTGCTCCTGTGGCTTCTGGAACTTTCACAGCCTTAGCTTTTGTACCTTTTTGAGTTAATTTCAGCATCACTTGTTAAAAGCACGTCCTTTCTCTGTTGAGTTACCTTGGGCTCTTCTCAGACGTCAGCTGAGTGCGTGCCTGGGCTCCTTTCCAGACTCCACGTCCGCCTGTCCCCGGCAGCACTAGCACCGGGAGGCCTGCTCTTCCTCCTCAGACGGCCTTGGCTCTCTTACTGCCTTTGTGTTCCCACGTCCGTGCTTTAGAGTCCGGTTCTCAGCTGGCCGCACAGGCCCGCTGGGTTTGGACTGGGACCGCAGTGACTCTGTAGGTGAATTTGGGGGACTTGTCTTCTTAATGATACTGAGTCGTTTGGTCTTTGAACGTGGCCCACCCATTTGTTTGGGTCTTTAATTGTCACGACATCTTGTGTTTTTAGTAAATAAGTATTACATATACCTTACAGATTTGTTCCCAAGAATTTTATGTTTTGTGATGCAATTTTAAGTGGTCTTTCCTTTCCCATAGCGTGTGGTAGCCCGTAGCCACGCAGGTGGCTTTGTGTGTCGGCCTCATAGGCAGAGACCTTGCTAAGCTCGCACGGAAGTCCCAGTGGCCTTTCTGTGGTTCCTAAGGGGCGGTTTCCTGTGACACGCGCCCGTCTTCTCTGGTTTTAAAGAGGTTTCTGCACAGCAGAGGCTCTGTGGGCACCTCGAGGGTGTAGCGTCGCTTGGCCCTGGGATGAAAGTAGGGACCTGAGGTCTTCTGGCCATTGACACCCCGTGCAGGCCCAGCCGGGGCTCCAGCAGCCAGCGAGCTGGAAAGCAGTGAGCTGGCAGGCGGCTCGCAGGATTGACCTTGCCGTCAGCATTGTCGTTCTCTGCCTCTTCGGTTTCCCGTCTGTGCTTCACTGTCGCTCAGAGGGGCCACCAGGAGCCCATCTCACACAGGCACCCGCGTGGCGGCTTGAAGTCCTGCTTCAGAACCAGGACCAGGCCTCCCCACCGCAGTGTTTGACAGTGAGCTCGCTGCCACCGGAAACTTGTCAGTGCATCTGTCGCTCCTTCTAGACGACGCAGTCTGTCCAGCACGAAGTCACTGAGTCCCCAGATGTCTGGAGAGGAGGACTCCGAGCTGGCATCCAAACTTGGGATGTGCAACAGAGAAATTGTCCGGCGAGGCGCGCTCATCCTCTTCTGTGATTACGTGGTAAGTGTGGACGCGCGAGGGGGGTGGGGCTGGAGAACATGGCTTCACGCTTCACAATGTATACACATCAAAATCATTATAGTACACCTGAAACTAACACTGTACATCACTGATCCTATATAATAAAAGCCTAACATGCTAAGTGTCCGGTCGTCTGTTCAACCAATCAAAGTGTAATATGCTAATGATATGCTAAGGCTGCTCAACTGCTCACTATGACGGGCACTGACCACCAGGGGGCCGACACTCTGCAGGAGCTGCCCTCTGGTGGTCAGTGTGCTCCCACAGGGGGAGCTCCGCTCAACCACAAGCCTCCCCAGCAGCGCTAAGGCTGTCCTACTGTGGCTCCCAGACTGGGAAAGGGCGCAGGCCAGGCTGTGGGGACCCCTCCCTCACCCTCCCAAGGGCACGAATGTCGTTCACCAACATTCTAGTAATATATAACGCAGATGTATTCCAAATTGATATTTCTCATTTCCTTATAAACCTTAAGTGAAATGCCTCCCTTTCTAGTTGACATGTGGGGTCCATTCATAGTTTGGATTCAGGAATTCTATCGAAACTGTGACAGTTATAGGGAGTCCTCTTCCCACTGACCTTACGAAAGTGGAGAGAGAGTCACTGGGAAGACCTTTGGCCGGCCAGACGGGAGCTTGGGGAGCGGTGGGCGTGGATGGCGTCCGGCTTCGGGCAGGCACTGTGAGGGCAGCGCTCACCACCTGCCGCTGACGCCCCACCTGGGCTGTGCTCTCCTCCCGCCATTGGCTGCCCCTTGGAGCCCCGGGTCTCCCTGGAGCGGTCTCGCCGCAGTGTGTGGTTGGGGGGCAGGCTCTGTAAGGCGACCCCTCCCTGCCCGTCACTGGTGGGCAGGCGTGGTTGTGCTGGGTGAGGACTGCGGTCTGGCCTTGGCTCCCCCGCTCCGCTGGCCTGCCGGTGGCTCTGGTCCGCTCTCCCGGAGACTGAGGGCGGGGCTCTGACGTCCCTCCGCAGTGTCAGAACCTGCACGATTCCGAGCACCTGACCTGGCTCGTCGTGAACCACATCCAGGACCTGATCAGCCTGTCGCACGAGCCGCCCGTGCAGGACTTCATCAGCGCCGTGCACCGCAACTCCGCCGCCAGCGGCCTCTTCCTCCAGGCCATCCAGTCCCGCTGCGAGAACCTCTCGGCCGTAAGTCCCGCCGGCTGTGGGCAGTCCCCGCTGCCGTGCTGCGGTCGGGTGACATTTTTATGCCGATTTCCCTCTCTCCCCCGCCAGCCCACCACTCTGAGGAAAACCCTGCAGTGCCTGGAAGGCATCCACCTGAGCCAGTCGGGTGCCGTGCTGACGCTGTACGTGGACAAGCTGCTGTGTACCCCGTTCCGCGTGCTGGCTCGCATGGTCGACACCCTTGCGTGTCGCCGGGTAGAAATGCTTTTGGCTGCAAATTTACAGGTACTGAGCCACAGGCACTGGTTTCCATTGGAAACCCAGCAGGCAGGCCAAACAGTCGGCGGTGTTTTCTCCGCAGGCACGCTCTCCACATGGCCTGAGAGGAGCCGTGGGCGAGCGGTTGTCCCCGTGTGTCTGACATGGGTACATGGGTGCTTCTTGTACCTCCTCCGAGGCCAGTGATGGCGAACCTTTTGAGCTCGGTGTGTCAGCATTTTGAAAAACCCTAACTTAACTCTGGTGCCGTGTCACATATAGAAATTTTTTGATATTTGCAACCATAGTAAAACAAAGACTTATATTTTTGATATTTATTTTATATATTTAAATGCCATTTAACAAAGAAAAATCAACCAAAAAAATGAGTTCGCGTGTCACCTCTGACACGCGTGTGCAGCGTGTCCTCTGTGAGTGTGCGGGCACGGGCTCAGCGTGTCCTCTGTGTGAGTGTGAGGGCACGGGCTCAGCGTGTCCTCTGTGAGCACGGGCTGGCTCAGCGGGCGCCACCTGATGCGTTCCTCTCTCTAGAGCAGCGTGGCCCAGCTGCCCGTGGAAGAACTGAACAGGGTCCAGGAACACCTTCAGAGCCGCGGGCTCGCGCACAGGTAGGGCCAGCGCCGGTGTCGCTGCCTGTGGGATAAGGGCTCAGACTCGTGAGGGGTAGACTCGCAGGACGGACGAGAGCTGTGCTTCCAGGTGGCTGTGCAGGGCTTGTGGGGGCCACCTGCCTCAGACACAGGCCTCGCCGTGCAGGATCGGGAAGGCGGCAGGACGCCTCTGCCGCTCTGCGGGGGGAGGCGCTCACGTAGGGCCCGCTCCCCTCGACTGTGGGGCAGCCGTGCTCCCAGTGGAGGGACTGCGTTCCCAGCCGTATCTCACAGGCTCACAGCACCTCATCGGACGGCTGGGAGCGCTTCCCCTCGGACAGGCCTGGCCCAGGCCTGGCTGCGCCTCCATCCATTTCACTTCTTGTAGCTGTTCCCCTCCCAGCTGGTTTGCTGAGTCGCAGAGCCTTTACAGAAGCAGGGCGTCTCTTTAGGAGGTGTCGCTGTGGCTGCCAAGCAATGGGGAGCAGCTTTGACCTTTCTCCTCCCAGGTCGGCGGGTGGTGGGCCGAGAGAGAGACAGAGAGAGAGAGCCGTTACTCACTGTGGCTCGGTGGTGAGAGCGGCTTGGTGGAGGCGTCTTGCGTGGAGGAGGGCGTGGCTGGTGGGCACCCGGTCTGGGCGGACCCCTCAGGCGCGGGGCCGGGACGAGTGTGACTGCCTGTCACTCTCACAGCGATGGTGGGTCCAGCTGCTGTCACTGTGACCCTGGAGTCACTGCTCAGCCCAGCTGAGGAAGCGAGACGGTGTCTCCCCAGATGAGCCGACCCCCCGAAGGCACCGCGTGGCGGGATGGGTCTGTGGGGCGTGTGCACCGGGTCTGAACAGGCGCCCGTCGCAGCGCTGAGCGGTGGGCAGTAGCTGTCAGGCCACGTGTGCCTGTCGCCGTGTGTGGGTGTGAGTGTGACGGCAGAAATACTGACGGGGCGTGGCTGTGGTCCTGGAGAGGACACAGGCCTGACTGGGCTCCACGGCTTGTCGAGGGCGGGTCAGGATCGGGCACGGGCATGCGGCTTGAAGAAGCTCTGCTGCTTCCTCCGGTGACGCTGGGCTCTGACCCACGTGTGGTTGGTTCCAGGCACCAAAGGCTCTACTCCCTGCTGGACAGGCTCCGCCTCGCCACCGCACCGGGGTCCCGGGGCCCCTGTCCTCCGGCCACGTCCCACCCGCTGGATGGGGAGGGGTCCCTGGCGCTGGAGACTGTGAGCCCAGACAAGGTGAGTGCCCAGCACGTGTGTGTGACACGTGGCCCAGTCGGGGCGCTGAGCGTGCAGCACTGGTTCGGGTTGGAGGGCATCATGGCACTTGGCACGGCTCCCAGCAGCTCCCGGCCTGCTCTGCTCCTGCCAGCCCCGCACAGGGTCCCATCACGGCCCCGCGGCCGAGGTCCGGCCCCGGTCAGCAGGGGTGGGTGAGAAAGGAAGCGCTGACTCGGATTCTCCTGGTGGGGCGTCAGGGGCGTCGATGGGAGAGCAGGTGTTGGGTGGTCACAGCCGCACGCCTACACAGGCCTTCAGCTCAGGCCCACTTGGCCGGCCTCCCTCTCCTTAGGCTGCTGGCCCCCTGCCTATGGAGCCACCACCCCCAGGGCCCTGTCCCCTTCCTCACCGCTCCACTCCTCACACCTCGAGACCAACCTGGGGGCCTTGGTGCTCTGCTTCCCTGGGGAGTTCAGTTTAAGTGTGAACTGGATTTCCAAACCCGGCAGCCCGGGCATCACAGGGCAGCGATCGCTGTGCTCAGGTGCGATGGCTGAGCGTGTCTGCTGAGCTGGCCCGGGGGCGGGGGGGCAGAGCTGCCACCCCAGTGGGAGATGACGGGTACGAGGCCAGATGGTGAGGCTGAGGCACGGGGCCTGCGACCCTCAGTGCTGGCACCGAGTTGGAAGGACAGCGGCCGTTCGCCAGGTGAGGGGGAGGGAACGGTGTCTGGACAGTGAAGCAGGTTCAGAGCAAGCCTTCAGGGCAGCCTCTGTGGTTGGGAGCCGCCTGCACGGCCAGCCAGGGGTCCTTGTTACAGAACCGTGTCCACAGTCCGCGGCCACTGCCCTCTGGTCTGGGCAGGGGTAAGAGCCCATTGCCAGCAGAGCGGAAGCCCCAAAGCTCTGCCCCCTGCAGGCGTGACCGCCCTGTCTCCCCAGGACTGGTACGTGCGCCTGGTCAAGTCCCAGTGCTGGACGAGGTCTGACTCGGCGCTGCTGGAGGGGGCGGAGCTGGTGAATCGGCTCCCACCAGGTGACATGAGCACGTTCCTGAGGCACCCGGTACGTCGGAATCCCGCCCCTGTTGCTTAATCCCCTCCGGTCCTCGGGCAGCCGCCAGGCGGTGTGCTCTCACGCCTGCCCGGTAGCCAGGGCCTCGGGTCCAGGCACTCGGGACAGTGTTCCTTCCCGCCCCGGTGGCAGGGCCTGGGTGGGCGGCAGAGGCTGACCGTGCGAGCGAGGGGGTCCCCAAAGACCAAGTCTCCGGCTCTTTGTAATGCGGCTGCATTGGGACAAGCGGGAGCCCGGCCCCGGCAGCTGGCTGCCGCCACTTTCAGACCCATCAGTGGAAGCTGACTGCTCACCGTCCTGTTTGCTTAAGGACCCATTTATGAATTTTTCAAGTTAGGTCATTGGACTTTTACAGCTTTTAAAGGTTGTGGCTATAAGAGGTTTAGTCCGGGTCACTATGATGACATAGGGTTTTCTGAATATTAACTAAAGGTTGACATTCTACCTGAAAATTGGCCAAAGAAACCCTTACATGACTTTTAAAGATTGGCAAAATAATACCAATAATTGCAACGCCATATGAAATGCTTTTTTTCCAACCAAAATGGTGGCATTTATATGGGACTTTGATTTATTTCAGCTGTTTTTGAGCATAACCCACCTTTTTCCAACTCTGGGAGCGTGAAGGGCTTCGCTGGGTCCTGGGTGGCAGTCAGCTCAATGTGTGTCACTGTCAGTGAAGGTTTTGTCATCTACACTGTGATTTCATAATCAAATGAAAATACTCCTTTAAACTTAAACCACCCCAAAGAGACCAGAACTGTAGTCACCGAGCATGTGTAAGGGTTGTTCGTTTATTTATAACAGATGCAGGATATGCTTAGGGTTTTACGGTTGCTAACCTGTGTACCTCGGGCACGTAGCATTACCCTCTTCCTGCTGTCTCCTGGCCTGATTAACGCTGTCATTGAACCTTCGATGCCCTGACGCAGGAGTTCAACATCAGCCTGTTAGCCCCGTGCCTGGGTGTGGGCGCGCGGGAAGTTTCCGGAGGCCAGAAGAGCGCCCTCTTTGAAGCAGCG